AGACCCTAGCCCAGGAAGCTGCCTCTCCCTCTGGCAAAGGATGGCAGTCATGTGCCCCCTGCCCAAGGGCTACCCGCACATCTGTACTGGGGCTGAACTGACCTCAGGGTGGGCTCGTCCGCTGGAGATGAGTGTGCACATCCCATGGTGCCCCTGTTGTCAACAGGGATTAAGGGAAAAGGAGGGTCCCACACTGAGCTCTGTTGCAGCTGGCTGGGAGCCAACAGAAAGGAAGTTCAGCTCTGTCCATTCTCAGTGTAGTGGAGTTGGCTGCTTGGGCCCAGAGACTCTGAAAGTGTCACCCCAGAAGTCATCTCAGAACCCTTCAGCACCTCTGCCTGCCTCTGTCCCCATCAGCCTGTGAACTCTGCAACATCTGGCAGCTCCAGCAGTACTGAGACTGCAGCCTCCCATGATCCCCTGTGGCTGGGGTAACACTCCCCCCCTTCTGTATGGACTGAGGGAAGGAGAGAGCATTTCTACCCCACCACCACTCAGTCTCCTTGGTAACTGTTTATATCAGAGCCCCACTCCCCACACCCTCCCCTTTCCCATTAGGAGGAAGAAAAAAAAAGAGAGAGAGAATGAAGAACAAAGCTGTCCCAGCCCTGACACAGACGTGTGCAGGTTGCAGCAATGAAAACCAAGCCAGCCATCGCTGCTGCCAGGGCCCCTAAAGACAACCGGGGCCCTGTCACCTGGGGACATCCTGGGCACTACAGGGAAGTATACTTTCCCTTCCTGCCCCATGCAACGGGGACAGCCAGCCTAAGATCTTAAGCAATCCCTTTCTTGGTACCCAAGCACAGACCCCAGAGCCCTGTGCAGGTGGCAGCTGGCCCAAGTTGTGGGAACGCAGATACCACATGGCTCCACAGCACAGCCTGAAAGGTTCCAATTACTGCTTCCATCCCCCTCCACTGGGAGCAGGCTCCTCTGAAGTCAGCTGCAGGCCACCAGAGTGGGCAAGAGGAGAGGGAGGGGAGGGGAGAAGCAGGGAAAGCACTGAGTCACTGGGCGAACCCAGATGCCTCAAGGGAGTGCATTTTTTGTTGCTATTCCAGGCAACTCGGAGAAGCACTTCTGAAAGCTGAGGCAACTCAAATTTAATTTTCTGTCTGGTAGAACCGATTCCTCCTGGGATACCCTGCTGCCTGGGAGGGACATGGGAAGCTGCTTTTGAACTTGCAGAGCCTGGCTGTCTGGAGACTAAGGTTTCCAGGCCACAGGGTTAAAGGGGGATGAGAATGAAGCTTAGATATGGTGGCAGCAGGAGAGGAACAGCAGGTCCCAGCAGGACAGATGGTCAGCCTCTGCCATTGCCAGGAGGTCTGTGCAGAGCTTAGAGGAAAGTGGGTGGCTCTCTACAGGGTCCCACCCCTAGGAGGGCTGCTTCAAAGGGAGTTGAGAGCCAGCCAAGGGCAGTGGAGGCCTCAGGCCAAGATGAAAGACAAGGGCTGAGCCTGGTGGTGGCACACATCTCTGCAAATCTCTGATAGCAGCATTCTGGAGGCTGAGGCATGAGGACAGAGTTCAAGGCTAGCCTAGACTACAGAGTAAGTTTGTCTCAAAAGAACAAAGCTAGGGATTAACTCAGTGGGCAGAGTAGTTGTCTGCCATGTATGCAGCTCAGGGCTCAGGGCTCCACTCCCAGCACCATAGAAACTGCAAATGGGATGAATAAATGTGTTCACTTGTAATTACAGCACTCAAAGGTGGAGACAGGAAAAATGGGGGTTCAGTATCATCCTCTACACAGGTACACAGCAAAGGACAGGTCAGCTTGAGCTAATGAGACAACATAAGAAAAGGAAAAACAAAAAACCAACACCAATGTGCTGGCTAATTTTACCAATTAACACAAGTTACTGTCATCTGAGAGGAGAGAACCCTGATTGAGAAAATGCCTCCATAAGATCTGGCTGTCGGCAAACTTGTTCTTAAACAGGCAAACATTTTCTTAATTAGTAATTAATGTAGGTGGGCTCAGTCCACTGTGGGTGGGGCCATTCCTAGTCTGGTGGCCCTGGGTGCTATAAGAACAAAGGCTAAGCAAGTCATGGGCAGCAAGCCAGTAAGTAGGACTTACAATTCATAACCTGCTATCCACCCAGAAGGTTGGTTAATAGCCTAGTGATCTTTTGTGCTATTTGTGTGACAGAAACCATACTGCTTCCAGACCCCTTTTTGTGAACTTGTCAATCTATAGAAGGTATCATATGTAGGCAAATCTATAGAACCCATCCTTATGGAAAATGTCACATGTACTTTACAAAGAGTTTCAATGAAGTCATGTCTTAAGCTTTATTGCACATACAGAGTTAAGTTATCACCAGGAGAGTTTTCACCAAATTGTGCTGTGCTTAAATATATGCCTAAAATAAAATATTCAGGATCAGACTCCCTAAGGTTGAACCAACCCTGACTACTTCAGGATTCAGGATATGAGCTGAATAAACTAAATAAGTAAAATAAAACCTTTTCCCACCAAGTTCCTTTTGGTCATAGTGTTCCATCATGATGAAACACCAAGACAGCCAGTGAAATGACTTAGTGGGTCAAAGGGCTTTTGTTGCATAGTTATCCT